TTGTGTCAATTGCTCTTCATTTTCTAGCTTTTCAAATCCTTTTCCAAAGATTTTTCATAGTTCTATTAATTTTAGCAACACCTTCACATTGTTACTCCAATAATCATAACTTTCTCCATTAAAACGAGGAATGAGAAAGGCAAAAGTATTATTGTTTGAATCTGGAACACCTTAGGAGAACACTAGATCCTATCTGGGTGTATAGTTGAGTTGTCTGAAATAGTGGAATTATAGTAATGCTAGATTTCTCGGATTGAATTCCTTTTACATAGTGCATGTTTATGTTGATGTTGGGAGTTGTATAAAGAATTAAATTATCCCATGAACATTCTAGAACCTAGTTTAGACATCTAGGAACCCTGACCATGGAGGACGGAGGTGATGGAAGTCGCCAGAGATGAAAACGATGAAAGAAAGCAAGCAGAGAGGGAGAAAGGAGGAAGAGGCAGCTCCTCACAAGGGTGGAGCCGGCTCTAGGTTGTGTGGAGGCGGCTCCCTATGTAGGGGAAGCGGCTCCTCCCCCTTTTGATGCAATTTTCGACGAATTTTGCTTCTGGGCTGAGTTTTTGATCTGTGTGGGTCATTCAGGGACTATACATGAGAGATTAAATGAATTATGTGATCATATAAAGACTCCAGAGGGTGTGGGAATGGATAATAATTTACTTAGGGTTTATAGGATTGAACCGTAAATAGTTTATAGCAAGATATGCGAGTTGTTTTTGGATGCAAGTGGATTAAATTACTTCAGTTATTCTAGAAACTTTCTGTGGATAATTATCAATTACTAATCATGTTTTTGTGGTATAAAATAAGCATTGTTAAAATCTATATATTTTTACTATGCTTGTTAAGGAATAAATGATGTTTAAATTTTAGCATTTATTGCGTCAATTGTTGGACTGGTAATATGGGCGTAAGAATTGGCCAATAATTATTATGCTTTCTGTGGATTGAATTGATGTGTATATTTATTATGTTCTCTCAATTATATGGATACTGGGAATAAATTGATAAGTACATATACTGATGTATCGTCAATTACTGGATTGTGGTTGTGTAATGTAAAATCAGCATATTAAGATACATAACTCTAGTATGCTTATTTTAGAACAATTGATGTTTAAATTTATTATTTTGTTTATTCTCAATTGTTGGGTTTATGGGTATGTTGATATTTATATGCATGGTCTGTATTATTAACTGCGAGATGGATGGATTGTATGCACCGGTATGGGACGGTGTCATACTGGGGGAATCTAGCTCAAACAGGCTAAGTCCCACCTATTCTGGAATTAAGGAAATGGATTGACTAAAGGTTAAATCCTATGGATTTGTAGTGTCAAGGCAACATATAGTTGAGCGGCACTACTATGGATTCTGGATGGATTTTAAATATATTTTGAGGGTACCTCGATATGAGCTTGAGTCTCAGGATCGACAGGTAGGGAGCATATATGCATTGGGATGCATAGCTGGCTATGATGGTTGGAGGTGTACCTTGTTAGGCTCAGGTACACATGCCCACTTCGTGTGCGTTTTGCATGTTGCCTCTTTTCAGGTTAAGACCGGCCTGTAGTTTAGTGAGAGTCCTTTAGTGTGAATATATATATATATTTACAGACTATTTAGCTATTGTTGAGTTGGTTAGAATGTATATGCGTATTGAGTCTCTACTTGGATTGTAGTAGGTTAGAACTTGTTCGTGGGCCTGACCTACTTTTATTTTTCAGGTACTCGTCTTTATCAGACTTAGACCTAATCGTGCTGAGCAGAGACTACTACTCACTCTTCCGACGATGTAGGATTCTCTCCATAGTTTATTTCTGGATGTTTCTTTTAGTGGTTTTTAATTTCAGTTTGGATTCTTATTAGGGGTCCACTAGAGATATATTCCCGAGTTGTTAAACTTATGGAGTTTTGGAGTATCGGATTTTAATAATTGTATTTTGAGGATTTTAAATTAGCATTCCTTCAGTTTATTATTTTTATTTCTTATTTCGCTTTGTATTCTAGGTTCGGTTAAATATTAATTGTTTGGTATCCCTTGGATCTGTGCTTGGACTTGATCACCCGTGGCTCTAGAATCGAGGGGTATCACAGAGTTATAATGGGTAAGAAGACGGGAAAGAAAATAATTCAAAAAGATAAGGTAATATTTTATATGATATGTGATCCTGTTTGAAAACATATAATATCTGATTCTTAATAATAATTAATTTTTTGATTTAGAATGAAGAGTTCAAATTAAAAGCTGGGTGGCATAGATGCTCTTTGTCGAAATTCATTGAAGTAATATACAATCTGAACGAGGAAAAGAGGAAAAATGTTGAGGATATTGGTTTTGGCAATATGCTTAACCTGAAATGTTCATTTTTGTCAACTAAACTCTTCAATTACTTCGTAGAAAATTTTGATGGGCAAAAATGTCAAATTAGACTTCAAGAGGAGAATGTGTATCTGTCCATTAATGCAATTGATATCCAGTCAATTCTTGGCATACCTGCTAGCATTATCCCAGTGCCTATTTGTAAAAATATTGATTCTGATTGGGTAGACGAATGTGGGCAGTGCAATGATAAAGAAATGCATGTGGACCAACTGATGGATAGGGTAAAGAATTTGGAGGCTGGCAAAGATTTCAAGAGAGCATTTGTACTATTTGCTTATGTAGCTGTAATGTCTCCAAATGGACGATATCATGCACACGTAGGCTTATGGAAAGCTGTTGACGACGTGAATGCAATTACATCTTACAATTGGTGCACCTATGTGCGTAATTGTTTGGTGAAATCGTTGAAAACTACTGAAGATGGGGATGGGAAGCAAATGTACATTGGATGCGTGATTTTCTTGCAGGTATAAATTAATAGATATATTTACACTAGTTAGATCATTTTATGAGTGATATTTTTTGCTAATTTTAATCCTGTCTCATATGTTTTGTTAAATGAAATTCAGCTTCTTTATTTAATGAGATATAAAGTGCAATACCCATATTATGAAAATGTTGATACCCAAAGCCTTGGATTTTGGAACATAAAGCTTGATTGTGAACGATTAAGATGGGAGCATGAGATGGGAGGTTTTGGATACGGTCAGGTATTAATAAAATTAATTTATTTGCATGTACCTACAATTTGTATTATGTATATTTAATTGTACAATATGCAGTTCAATATATGACAATGACATTTAGGAATGATTGAAGATTGACTTATTTTGTTTTAATAACATACAAAAAGTTGGTCACAATTCGGGCGAGACCATATTGCGGGAATGCTAATGTTAGCCCATCTTGACATTGGTTATCCCCCTCTCAGTCTGAGTCTTGCAATGATAGTTGTTCGAACATCGTGTTGGAGGTAAAAATACATTCAATTATGTTAACGCACTATAAAATACATTTTGTTGGCAATTTAAAATTAATACAATTGTCTCTTTATGCAGCATTACATCAAAGATCTTCAGGTGGAAATAATGCACAATGCGAAGAAATCGAAAAAGAAGGTTCACAAACTAGAGTCTTTGTTGAGGCAGCGTCGTACACAGAAAAGAGCAAGAGTGTTTGGTAAGAAGAATGGGGACGGCATAGCTGATGGGGATGGGGAAAGTTTAGCTGATGGGGATGGGGAAGGTTTAGTTGAGGGGAAAGACGGGTCCGATTATGAAAAAGAGACATACATGAACGAAAACATTGCTTCCCCCATTTACACATGTGAGGGGGAACAGTTCGTTGGGGAGAAGATGGACACAATTGGTGATGAACAAGATGCAGCTCTAAATGTTGAAGAGACATGCACGAAGGAAAACATTGCCTCCCTTATTGACACATGTGAGGGGGAACAATTGGTTCTGGAGGAGATGGACAGAATTGGTGAGCAACAAGATGCACCTCTAAATAATGAAGATACATGCATGAAGGAAAACATTGTCTCCCCCATTTACACATGTGAGGGGGAACAAATTGTCCCGGAGGAGATGGAGACAATTGATGAGCAACAACATATACCTCTAAATGATAATGGGTTGCGGAAAATGAATACCGGGGCTATACGGAGGTTGGAAAGCCTGCCTATTGTGTATTATAGGTGGTGGTGGCATGTAACATTGATGATGTACACATTCACCTGGATTTTCATTGCCCTTCAACAAAAATTGTGTACTTCTGTTAGGTTACAATAAACTTGTAAACAAAATTAACGAATTGCACAACTATCACGAAAATTAAGTGTTGGATATAATATAGTCGTAACAATACTAACATCGAGTAATAGATATGTCTGACTACAACTGCCACCTCCCACTCCGGAGACCATGCTATCATTTGCTTTCTAAAACACAATAAAATTCAATTTTTATTCGATTCAGTACACAACCAGAAACGACAAATAAATCCACAACATTAATGTAAAACAAGGACCACAATAATGTAAGTACAATATGAAAAGTAAACTAAAAACCTTTGGTAAATACCTCAACTATTCTTTTCATACACTTGCTCTTCTTCTTGGCATTTTTCTCAGTGGGAGATTTGTGCCTACGCATTTGTCCTTTAGATGTATCTTTCATCTTGACGCCATGGGAATTATTCTACTGTTTCTTATCCCCCCATTATTCTGCATTTTACCAGCCTTTCTACAGCTAACCAAAGTACGACTACAACTTCTTTGGGCAGATTTTTTCCATTCCATTGCTTTTACTAATAAATCATTGTATCCCTCATTGTCTTCCGATGCAATGGAAGATATTTCTGTCAAAATACGACAAATGGTCCTGTGTCGTCGCCTTACCTCAAGTTTAGGATCCATCAACACTTCACAGCCAAGAATCTCATCCAAGTTCCCATCTCTAGCTTTCCTAGTCCACCTTCTTAATATATATTGAGAAGGCAATTCAGTGATGTTCATACAATCCTTAAGGATTTTTAAAATATGATTGCACAAAAATCCATTCATTTCAAATTTACTACATGAACAAGATAATTCATCCTCAACTGTTCAAGTCATAGAACGTTGCATCCCATTACGACTAGTAACTTTATAAACATGTTGTCCATTGTTATCCATGTCACTGTAACTATTAACATTATCACTCACACAAGCTGTTAAAAACTCTTCCTGGAAAAGCTGAAATATAACTTTTGTGTATGTCTCCCCCGCTTTAAGTAACATGTCACACTTTGATTTAACTTGCGGAAGCCTCTGCAGCAAACGGTACTCGGCTTCATACTCCTTGTAACGCTTATCCGACAACAGCCTCTCAAAATGGGTGAAGAAATCAGGAAGAATGAGTTGCCTCGATAAGTATTCCTTCAAGCGAGTATTGAAACTTTCACTCAATTGCATAATGCGCATTCCCGCACACCATGTATATTTAACGAATGCCATGGCCGATCTATGTGTCAAGCTAAACAAATGCTCAAGCCATGTGTTACCAACAAGATCATATATCCTTAGCATTGAATCCCATTCTGACATAAATTGTTCCTCCTCCTCAATTTCGAATATTAATTTAGATATCACATTTTTGATGCGTTCATCATGTTTAAACAAGAACCCAACATGCTTTTGTGCATTTTGCATTAGATGCCACGTACATAGATGATGTTTTGTACCAGGCATGACCTAAAACATAAAATCATGTTTGAGTCATGACATTTAAAACAAACCCAAAAATCATGTTAGAATAATAAACATTTTTCCATTATTTACTTCATTGTATCAATTAGGCATTACAGGTATTTTCAGTATATGAAAAGGAGTAGAGATCTTAATTCAAGTTACATGCATCAAAGCCTTCGCCATTGCTGCATCTTGATCAATCAAAATTGTCTTTGGTGTCTTTCCGGACATCGCTTTCAAAAAAGTATCAAATAACCACACAAAAGAATCTGCTGTCTCATCATACATAAGGGCTGCCCCGAATACAGCCATCTCCCGGTGTTGATTAACACCCAAAAATAATGCAAAGGGACAGTTGCCATGTACAAGTTTGTATGTAGTGTCAAAAGTTACAACATCTCCAAAATGGCCATAATCAGTTATCATTTTAGGATCTGCCCAGAATTTATTGGTTATCATCTGTTCAGCATCCAACTGTAAGGCATAGAAAAATGAAGGATCATCACAAGTATGAGTGACAAAATAATTGGTGAGCCATGCAGCCTCACCATATTGAAGCTCATTCTGTCAGCAGGTCCTTATATAATTTTGTTGGTCTAGCTTAATGTATCCAACTGATTCTTTACAACCAGATTGCCTTGCCATTAACTCATATGAATTACGAGCTGCAATTCCTGAATCTGAAGCCAAGTCCACATCAATGGCCTGGACGCTAGAAATACATCTCTGCAACGGTATCATGTGGGTGCATTCATCAATTATCAAGGGATGGTTGTGACTATCTACAAAATTATCAACTAAGTACTTTCCCTTTGCTTCATCATATTTAATATGCATTCGTGCACAGCAACCAGTTCTTGTTTCAGCTCGCGGAGTCTTTGTATATTTGTCCCTTCTATCCTTCTTCCTAGCACCCTCCTTGCAATAAGTAAACAACCTCGTTAAAAGTTTCCCAGTTTTACGGCTATTATTAAAATACTCCCTCCGGATGCTAAATCCAACTCTACCCCCATATGCATTATAAAATTCGTATGCCTCTTGTTCCGTATCAAACTCCATCTTAAACCTTGGTTTCCATTGATTCACTTGGGGCTCTATAACTACAGCATTTGTTGTGTCTTCAATATCTATCATTTCATCTTCCATCAAAAGGACTTAAATTTTTAACCTACAACACAATTCAAGTAATATAATGTGTCACCCATGAAATTCAAACCAAATCTAATCCTCTTTCTAACTTGTTGCAGGTATATAAACTAGAAAAGATAATGGAAGAACTTAAATTTAAAATATAGGAACACTAATGACGACATAAGAGTTGCACATCCCAACTTAGTTTAGTCATATATCACCAATGAACTGCATAAAACATCTCTTCCAAAAATATAACATTTATAACTATACAATACAAAAAAGGGAACTGATTTGAATTCAATAATCCCCATAACTGTATGAAGAGCACGTCTCAATAGGTTAATGTGAATAATCCCCATGTCTAAGACAACAACATCCTAACTATGTTCTAACATACCTCACCAATGAAATATATGCAGAATCACTTTTGTTTTTTTATTTTTAAACTTCATTTCAACATATGAATATTGATACACGTATCTTTTAAAATAAAATCTAACATTTATAATTATACAATGCAAAAAAAGGGGAAAAACTAATTTGAATTGAATAATCTCAAAAATTGTATGAAGTGGACGTCCCAATATGTCAGTCTGGATAATCCCCATCTATAAGATTACCACATCCCAACTCAGTTCTAACATGCCTAAGCAATGAAATATAAACAAAATCCCCCCCCCCCTCCCCTTTAATTCATTTCAACATATGAATTAATACACGTATCTCTTCAAAATAAAATCTAACATGTATAATTATACAATGCAAAAAATGAAAAAATTAATTTCAATTCAATAATCCCAAATTGTAACATTTTTCATTATACAATGCAAAAAAAGGAATAATTGATTTGAATTGAATATTCCCAAAATATGTTTCAAATGTACGTCCCAACATGTCAATATAAATAATCCCAATCTCTAACACTACAACATCCCAAGTCTGCTCTAATATGCCTGAGCAATAAAATTTATATTTCAACATATAAATTGATACACGTATCTCTTCCAAAAAAATCTAACATTTATAACTATACAAAGCAAAAAAGGAAGAACTAATTCGAATTGAATAATCCAAAAAAGTATATTGAGTGCACATTCCAACGTGTTAATATAATTAATCCCTATTTCTAATACTTCCGCATCCCAACTCTATTCTAACATGACTACCCAATGATATATATATATATATATACAAAATCCCAGATTTTACTTTATTTCACTGTATCAATTCATATAAGTATTTTGAATCAATAGTTGATCGCAAATATTATACCCAACTTTTATTAGGGAAAAATAACATATAGAACATTGAATAGACTCCAAAAATTAAAACTATAAGAGGTATAAGAGCCAATATCTAAATATATATATACCATACGCTTTTCATTTTTGATATTTTGACTTTTTACCCATTTGACTGCTCACCGGCTGCAACACTAATTACATATTACTGTTGCGTCAGAGACGATTTTGGTCCCACTTTAATGACTTACTTTTTTTTATGTCACTTTGTTATCTATTATAATTTATTATTTTTATTTTATTTTATTTATTCTGAATTTGATTCTTAGGTAGTAGTGACTATGTGGCTATAGAATTTAACATCTATATTGAATGAATGAAAAAGATATAAAATCATTTATCGTAGCTTCAAGTTGCGTATCCACGCTAGAAAGGGACTTTGCAGAGCCGTGTTGAGTTTATATATATATATATATGTGCGGCTGCAAGTCAAGTACACGCTAAAAAGGGACTTTGCAGAGGCGTGTTGAGTTTATATATATATATATATATGTGCGGCTGCAAGTCAAGTCAAGTCAAGTCAAGTAGAATTCATCGATGTTCTTTCTGGATCGCTCGCTCGGTCACTCGCGTCTGTGATTTTCCGGAGTTGCTAATGTTTGGTGGGCGGATAGAGGAGGACGAATGATGAAGTGCAATTCGGAGAAAAGGTTTGTCCAACCAAAAAAAAAAAACCCTAATTTCATTGTTTCGTTTTGGTTTGCTAATCTGAATTTTGTCCCTTATTTCTTCTACTGGTGAGTAAATTTTATATAACTAATACTGTTGTTGCTATATTTTCTTTATGTATATATTTCTGTTGAACTATTGATAATTTATTAACCGAATCACCCTGGAAATTGGAATTGGGAAGAAGGGAGGAGAAGAAGCGGAAGGTGTTCAATTTGTTGTTAAAAAGAATAATGGGAAGAATAAAGGTGAAGAAGAGGTCGAAGAAGGTTGAGACAGGGACGGTAGAGGGACTATCAGAGTGGTCAGTATTGAAGTCAGAGGAGAGAAAAAAGTTTCTTTGCGTGTTTTTTAAATTCGAAGATGGTCCACTTCGTATTCTTTGTATGCCTATGTTATTGCGGCAAGCGATTTTATCAATGTTCCTAATCCACCACCACCCTCTCCTGCCGTGACAATACTAGAGATGCCCTGAAAAATTCCCTATCGGGATGGCCTGCGTTGAATTGGGTTCTCGAATTTACTTTGTTGGAGGTCAGTGCCGGTTCTAGGATGGATATTATGCCTCTAAGAAGGTTTATTACTTGGATTTCAACACCTTTAGAATAAACTGACCTCTACTACTAGTAGTAGTGGTAGTCTAATCAATTGTGATGAGTTATCAGAATGCCCCAATATGAATGGGGGTAAGTGTAATGCGGTTGTTTTGACTGCGAATGGTAAATTATATGTTTTATCTGGCATCATTAGTGGGGATTTAAATACCAGAACTTTGGGTTCCCCTCCTGATTTTAATGACTTTGATTTCTTTTTATGGTCCTAAATGGAAAAGTTGTGCATTCGAAGTCTATGATCCCGTGACGGATGAATGGACCATACTGCCTCTGCCCACTTCATATTCTTCTCCAGATCATATTCTTTCTGCTTATTGTTCTTGGCATGCCGACATCCATGGCAAGATCTTCTTCTTTAACTGGGGTGACATCATTTCTACTTTTGATTTGAAAACTCATAAATGGAAGTTCTTCGATGCCAAAACCATTGCAAAGACACAGGCACAGACTTGTGACGATGCCTTTGCATGTTCGTTGGTGGATAATCCCCTGACTGGATGTGGCCTCGTTCTCAATGATACCTTATATGGCTTTTCACCAAGTAAAAAAGGGGTCTGTGCCTTTTGTGCATATCATATCCCTGACAACCTTGGAGATGCATTTATATCTCGTTCTTCACTCAAATTGACAGATTCATACCTATTGAAAAGGGACTCCAAATCAGGCTTATTTGTTTTGCAGGCTGGTTTCTTTTATTTAGGAAATGATAACTTCTGTTCAGTTTTTCGTGAGACTCCAGAAATCAAGTGTACTGAACAAGACGATGAGGACCCTCACGAGGCTTCTGAAGTTTACTTCGTAGTGTTTCAAATTGTCAAAGAAAGAACTTGCAGCGGAGATGTCTGTTGGCCTATCAATCAATCAAGGCCCTGCAAAGTCCAGGGAATCAATGCTGATTTGGGCTCAATTTTAGATTTCTTCACACTGTAGATGTTGCTGGTCTTGTATCTGTCACTTTCTCCCTCTTGTTGTCTGTTAGCTTTTTCTGCTGGCTTTATGGACCTTTTTACTTGAATATATATATTTTTTGATAAGTTAACTTGAATATTAAGTTTATATATTGGACTTTTGGATATATAGCTTACTCTGTGTCATGATTGAAGGTTAATGATCTTAGATCAGACCTTATCTCTGGTAACACGTGATCTGAATGATATTTCAGGGATGGAGGTTGTTTTGAACTAGATTATAATACACATCAATTTTTTTTTATTTTTTTTTTATTTTTTGTGAACCTAGTGTTGTTTTGCATCTCTCTCTCTCTCTTTTATTTTTCTTCTGGTCTATGCTGCTTCAGGGAATTTGGAAAAAGAACTGTGTCTGGGTTCTATGAGCAGCTATGTCCGAAATGATTCTTTAATTTTTTCTTATGGTTATGTTTATGTTTTGCACTCATGAAAAGCTTTTGTATTTGTGATTTTTTCTTGAATAACAAGTTGACAGGGAGGCTTTATTTTAAGTTGAATTAACATGCTTTATATACAACTTCATTTTGCATTTTGATATGCTCGCAATTTCACTTTCACTACTTCCAGAAAAGCTACTTCTCTAGGTGACTTGATGTAGCGGTGATATCTATCACTTGAACCTCTATCCAAAAGAAACCAATCGATTGTGATGGTTGGTTCTTCTTGATTATGTGATTTACACTTTTCATAAGAGCAACGGTACGCTTTTCATGGTTCCACAACCAGTATCTTATTTCTCATTGCCTTTTTTTCTACTTCGGTCTAATGTGACTTGGTCTAATGTGACTTCCTGAGATGTAGAAATAAAAACAATATATGGAAAAAGGAACAGATCAACAACCTGAGGTTATTCATAAAACTTTGTAATCTTGATTTTATGTTTATCTGCAATTTTTCAATCGGAGAATGAATTTCTGTATGTTCCACCACGACTAACTTTCTCCGCCTGTTATATTCTTACTATTGGAGTATTACCATTGGCAAGATGGCCCCTATTCACATTGTGGTGAATTTTTCATGCTTGCATCTTGTATGTGTTTAGCTTGTTGAATTTGGGCATCAATTTACTTCTTAGTTCTATTCGATGTTCAGAATTGATGTATGAGTGCACTATAATAAGATGGCCATTTTTTGCAATGTCACTTTTTATTGTGCACCATAACTCACTACTTGTTCCTTTACATGATTTTGGCTTATATATATATTTGTTTATTTATTTATTGTTGTTGGTTTTATTTTCGTATATGCATTATGAAATGGTTTTACTTGTTATAATCTTGTAGGGTAATAGCCTATTTAGGATCCTCAGTGTAGCATCTTGTATTTTCCCCTTAGTAAAGTCAATTTTATACTTAGAGGGCAAGTTCTATGAACAACAATGCAAGCAAAAGAAAGAATAAAAACCACTTCCAGAATCCAGCTCTCAAAAACAAAAACAGAATATTAAG